ATTATGTTTGAAATGATGGGGTTTAGATCGGTTGGTTTGTTCACATAGGAGGATAAATGTGGGTGCTACTCACGGCCCGTTTTGGGTCGTGACAAATATCGTGTATTTTTTTGCTCCTTGGACCTAACGCGGATCCACCCCTGATTGTAGGTCTAAGCTCCTAAATAATTTAGTTGAATGACTTTTATGAATGAAAAAATAACGTCCGACATTATTCATGGATTGGACTGGTAAGCTAGTGTAGACTTTTTTCTTTGGTTGCCTTGAGCTAGCCTCAATCTTGGATATTTTACGTAGAGTAAGATGCAATATCAACCTCTTTAAGCTAGTGTAGACTTTTCTCTTTGGGTGCCTTGAGCTAGCCTTGATCCTGTATGTTTTATGTTGACACCCACTTTTGACCGACCTTTAACCATTTTAAGAATACTATTCGATTAAATATGTATTTTAAAATTTATTTAAAGTTTAGAATTTTAGTCGATTTTTCTTCAAAATTATAAATTTTAGTATATTTTACTTTATAAAATTGTCGTAAATATTTTAAAAATAGTTTATAATTATTAATGAATTTCAAATGTTTTAAAATTTAAATGATTTTCAGATACATTTTTTAAAATATATGTAGTATTTCTTTAAATAGTAATTCATACACTTTTCTTAAAGTTATTTAAATTCTAGCCTATTCTAATATAATTTCTTCCAATTCTAGTCACTCCAATTCAAATTTTATTACAATCATAGCCACTCTTCCATTTCAATTCTAGCCAGTTTAATTACAATTTTAGCCATTTCATATCTTTTCTCATTTAACTTCATCTCATCCATCCAACTAAAAAATAAATTCTAGATCTAATCCCAACGCTTTATTTCAAATTAGATCAACGGTTAGATCAAATTCTTCTTTTGAACTACCAAATAATTAAACCTAAAATTATTCCCATTCCCCTCCCTCTCTTCTCCAAAATCACCCCCCCCCCCTCCTCCCCAATTTTTCCCGCGAACGTCAGAGGTTGCGACGCCCCACCCCTCTATCCAGTCAGCTTTCTCTCTTCTCCTGGAATTCACCGCCTCTCTTCTCCCCTAAGACCCCCTTTCTTCTCTCCTCTTCTCCCTCTCTTTTGCTCTTCTCCTTTCCCCTCTCTCCTTCGTCTTTCTTCCCTTCCCGTCTTTCTCCCTTTCCCGTCTCTTCTCTTCCCCTTCCCCTTCCTCTTTCTCTTCTTCTTTTTTTTTTGCAAGCACCAGCAGCCCGCGCAGCACCAGCGGACAGCAGCCACCAGTCGCCCAGAGCCAGCAGCCGCTGGCAGCCGTCGCTCCTCCTCCCTTCTCTCTCCCCGCCTGAACTCCCTCTCCTTCTTTCTCCACTCTCTTCCCTTCTTATCCACTCTCTTCTTCCCCTTTTCTCTTCCTCTTTTGCAGGTACCAGCAACTCCTATGGTGAGGACAACTCCAGCAGTACCAGGAGAGGCCACCAGCAAAGGAAATGACAGCAACATCAGCAGCTAGTAGCAGCTCCAGGTGAAAACCTGCAAGAAATCGACATGGAATTTCAGAAAATAATGTTGAAGCTTTTGAGTTTATTAAGACGGATCTTGACAGATCCGTCCAGGTACATACTTTAAAATTATCATCTCATTTAATAGTAATTTTGTTTGTATTTTTCATTCACAAGTTGTTTGGGATTTTAGGATATAGAGGTTGTTATGCATGTTAGGTATATGTGATAGTTGTTTTAATGTTCATGTGAATATTGCTCCATATTCAAGTGTGTTTGTGAATGTTACGTGCTAGCATTTTATCAATATAATTGGGATAAATTTCTTGTTTAAGTGGCGAATTTGTTCGTTACCTTCCTTAGTTTCGCCATGAATTTTGAAATCGAGCTTGAATGCAATATTTCCCGTTTAGTTTGATTATAGCATATTATGTTCATTCTGATTTCATACTGTGTTCATTCAGATTTCATATTTTTCTCTTTTCATAGAATGACTAATTTATTTAATTTTTTCTTTATTAAAATGAAATTTTAGTTTACTGAATCTAATTAGTAAGTTGTGAATATTTATCTTCTCCTTAATTACCCCCTAAATTGATTATCTTCCTTTTTGAAAGTTAATTTATTTTGTTTCCTGTGGAAACTAAGGCATGACAATCTACTCTCTTAATTATATATTTTTAATTTTTTGATCATGCATAGGTGATAATTTAATGCTTCAAAATATTGAACTACTGCATTCTCGTGGCTCCTTCCTTTAATACTTGTCCTAATTAATTTTCATTTTCTATTTATTTATGAAAATCTTCTAATTAATATAAGGTAAACATTGGAGTAAGGTGATTAGTTTTATATGATTGCCATTGCTTGCTTTATTATGACAACTTCAGAGTATTTCCTTGTAATATTTAGCTGCGTATATTTGGTAAAATAATTTAATAATAAAATCTTATGATATTGACTCTTCTTTATTTTCGGAAAGTATATTGTTCTTCCTAATTTTATTGTTACTTATTTATATTTGATAATAAGATCTGTATAAATCTAATTTTGTCTCCTTTAAAATAAGGAAATATATAATTGATCCCTTTTTTTATTTGGAAATGGATTAATTTCATACTTGTTTATATTATATGGTTTGTTTTTGGCTCTTTTTTATTTTACGGTAAAAGAATATTGTCTTCCTAACTTTATTCTTACTTATTTATTTTTGATAATGGTATATTTTTAAAATTTTCTGATTTTCACTCCTTTGAAATAAAGAAAATAATTTTAATTGATCTATTTTTTCTTATTTGTAAGTTTATTGATTTCTTACTTGCTTATTTATGGTAGAATAATATTTTCTGATTTTGGCTTCTCTTTATTTAAGGAAAATATATATTACTCTTCCTAACTGTTCTTACTTGCTTATATTTGGTAATGATATTTTTAAATTTTGGCTGATTTGAATCTCCTTTTTGAATAAGGAAGATAGTATATTTATTTAATTCCTTAATTTATTTTTTCCTTATTTTGCTTCCTCCTCTTTGCTATATAATTAGACCTTTCTCTCATTCATTGACAAAAAAATCCACATCTTTGAGAAAAACTGATATGCTCCCAACTAACACTAACTCTTGCTATAATTTCTCTCATTCTCTCATTGCTCATACACACATTCAGTCTCTCAACTCATCACTCATTCTTATAATACAAGTTGATAATCTTTTCTGTAGAATTGGTTAATCCTCTTTATTAATTTCAATTTGATTTTTTTATTTGTGTTGAGAAACGAAACAACAAAGAAAGCATCCAAGTTAGTTTCATTATCCTGTTACGTTTGATAATATAATTATGGTTATTCTTAATCTCTTTTTTGTGTTATTTACATGTATGTGAGTAATTTGCTACTATAATTCTACTATATTACAATTATTTTCTCATCGTATATGTTTTACATTGCCTCTTCTACCAGGTTTTGAACTTATAGTTCAAGATGTTGAAGATTTGCCTAGAAGAAATTGTGGACGAAGCCTCGTTCATTTTATTGTTATATATGGTTATTCGTTCTTTATTTTTACTTGTAATGTTTGTATAACTCGTTAACTCTATATATGTGAAATAAATTTGGGGGATCGTCTAAGGGGAGGGGTACTATATGTTACTTGTCACTCTGTCGCAAAATCTTATTTGGTTAGTCAAGCTAGACTTAAAACCAAATATAATGATAAAAAGTTTTCATTGCTTGATCACTTATTTAATCTTGTCTATTTTAGTACTTGAAACTAATTTGGTATTAATATTAATTAATTGTCGTTTCACATATCTTTTAGGTGGTAATACTTATAAATAAAATCAACATCTTGTCATTACTTTGTTTTAAATACATCTAGAATCCATGCCTATTGGATTGAACTAAATATTTGCATAAAATACCCATAAGTGTTTACCAATTTGGTTAGTCATTAGAAGTCATGCCATAGGAATTAACTAATAAAATCAAGTTCATTTAATTAGTTGAAATAATTTTTTTTCTAGTATGTTAAGTAATTGAAATCAATGTGCTTCACTTTTTTTTTTCAAAAGTAAAATAATTTCTGCATTTATAATCTTCTTCTACCTGTATTAAAATTAATTCATAAGCTATTGTGAACATGCTAAATTTTCTTAAATCATCTGCTTGCATTAAATATTGCTCAAAGGTTATTTTCTGCATTTGAACATTCCCTTGTCACATAAATCAGTTTGGTAATTTTCTGCATGTTCACTGAGATTTTGCAACTATAAATGCTTGTTGCTCCAATTAACTTTATTAATTTCTGCATTGTTTGGCCACTTACGAAAAATAGATGAATTTTCAGCATATTAAAATATTAATTGTCAAATCAAATATGTCCTTCAATAATCTCCATGATAAAAATATTTTTGCATGTTATCAATTTGTTACTGTTCGTAAAAAATATTTTTGCATTAGTAATAAATTTATTGTCGTTCTTAAAATAATTTTTTGCCTTAAACATAATAAAATCCTTTTGCCTTGAATAAATATTTTCTGCCTTTATAATTAAACCGACTACTATGTTAAAATATATATGCATGTGGGATCACTTCTATGCTACTTAGAATTAAGAGAACAAACCTGTTTATTAATTTCTGCTCACCTTAAATCAATTGAATATTGAAATTTGTATACATGCTATATTCGTATGCTCTCACAATTTTTTGTTCATTATAACTTTGTGTGGTTACACTTAGCATGAAGGCCTTTTGACAATTATGTGTTATTGCAAGCATGTCTAATTAAAATTTAGAGGCCAAATTGAAACATACCATGCTAAAATGACCGTCTTGTTTGTCTTGTTTGTTTGACTTGGTGTCTAGGAGGGCCTTATATTCTATTTTGTCTAAACCCACCCTTTAAGAGTCCAATGCCTCTCAGACAATCAAGTTAGGTTGATTAGGTACCTTTTAGGTACCAAATGCATGTGGTGGTAGGGTAGGGGTAGTTGGTCCTGTGGATATGATGACATCGACTTAGACTTGAAAGACAAACCTTGATTTTGTCTGTCCCTATATGGCAGCCTATCGGGAAAAAAAAGTCGAGTGCTGATCCAATAAGTCTCTTAGAGTCTCCCTTCTCTTTATCCCTTTGTTTGTTTTGTTTAATTATTTATTTTTTTGGGGTTGAAAGAAATTTGTTTGCTTATTTATTTGCCTCTTTTCTATCCCTCGCTTATATTTAAATTTTTATTTAATTTTCATTTATTGTTATCACTTAGTTTTGCATGTTTAGATAATTAATTAAAAAAATAATAAATTTATTTCTCAATTGTTTAATATTTTATCACCTAGACTCACATATTTAAATTTAATTAAAATAATAATATGAGTTATTTGGTCGATTCGTGTATCAAATGGTATCATATGTTAAAATAAATAAAAATAAACTTGATTGTTTATTTATTGTCACCTAGTCTTGGATGTTTAAATTAATTAAAATAATAAAATTGTCTTATTTGTTTCATATTTCTTATCACCTAGCAAGCATACTACTTAAACAAACTAATAAATGAAATGACCATATTTTCTACTTGTAACCCCACATAGAGTGCATGAGATATGGTCGGGACCCACATTTGTGGACCTTGAGGGATGTCTAACACCTTTCCCTCGAGGTAATTTGAACCCTTACCCTGATCTCTGACTCGTTGACCTTAGCTAAGCTTAGTTAGGTTAGATAGGTTCCCTAACGCGCCTTAATTCGTTAGGTGGCTACTCCAAACTTAAAATCCTAAAAGAGTTGTTAGGTCATACACAAAATATATTTTTGCGAAAATGGAGCGCGACATAATGACGACTCTACTGAGGATATTAGGTTCTTATTTATCATTTTGTTGCCTTATTTACCATCTTCTTTTCATGTTCCACCCTTTCTCTCTTCCTTATTTGTTTATTACCATGTTTAATCTTTCCCCTTTTCCCTTATTTGTTTACTTACATTGTTTAATCCCATACCCCTTTCCTTATTTGCGTGATTTTTTTATGTTCACTTTCCTTTATTTATTCATGCTTATTTTTTTATTTATTATTTATAAATTGCCTATATGTTACCGCTTTTCAATTTAAATGTTAAGTGTTTATTGCTTTGATAATTGACATTCCGCTCATACTTCCCCCAATTGAGACTCTCTTCCTTTTTTATTTTTGTTCTTATGATACTGTATCTTTGCACCTCTCATAATTACTCCAATTCTATTCAAATACCCATTATTGTGTGTCGGCATATGCGTGGACGTAACAGATAGTTTTACAACCGCAAAACCATGAACCTCTCGCATAGAATCCCTTTTAAGTCCATGTCAAGCCAACTCTTAGAAGTCCTGGTTAGGGCATACATGCTGCATAAGCCCTAGGTGGTTTGACCCTTGGTGTCAATCCACATAATTAGTAGCCACCCTCTCATCTAAAGGGCCCCAACACCCTTTAGACAAATTGCATACTTGTGTGCGAACATGATCA